ATTGCAAATCGAAGGCGTCAAGCCTAATAGATTTTATGTATATAAATGGGTTTGAACACTGACTAAACTGCTCATCAACAGCTGAGAGACAAGTCGGTCGTTGAAGGCAGACTGTCTTTAAGGCTGTAAAGCATACCCATGAAAAATCTTTTTCTAGGAAAAGGCTGTTTTATTAATCTCGCGAACCACTCTTCTCTAGCCAGGTTAGCGAAGCTCCTGGCTAGAGAAGAAGCTGAGAATTTCGTACGCGATGTAAACGACAGCTCTGAACAAAAAACTTTGAATCGTTAAAACATGTGAGGTTCCCCACACGCAACCTCCAATTTCGCTTTAAGATAAACTCTAAAAACAAAGACTTCTTCAGTCGTATTGTATGACATATCCTGATGAACAGCAGTCCCCACTCTAAACGTCAGGTTCAACTTCATACTTAGGGGAGAGCGTCTGGAGTGCGCACGACGCGAGAGCGCCGACGGTAGAGCGGGCGACATGAGAGCGCTTAATCAGTTTTGAGCGCGTCACGAGAGAGTTTTCGGGGCCGACGGATGGGTTGTATCATGGCCTCCTTTATACCAAATTTTGTTTATACTATGGTTGTATGCTTCATCTTACCTTAGCATGGACTATTGTTAGCAGCGCATGCTAATAGCGCCAGCTAGTTGCTTTGGATGAAGCCTCGGCGGCCGCACGAGCTCTCGTGCAGCGAGTGCTCCAGTCAAAGCAGTCAAGGGTAGCCGCTCGCGCGTGCAAAACCTTCGCAGTTAGTCCATAGTAGGGTGCCTCAATGTCCTTCTGTTTATGGTGATGCCATCCTTTGTAGTACCCGATGCCGACAGCACGTTCTCACGGAGAAAATACAAGGAAATCGACGAAAAGAAAATGTCGCCATAGCACAGTCAGCGCCACAAACGCGTGCTGGGACGCGCTCTTTCACGCGCATTTGAACAAAAAATGAAAATAAACGTGTGGGACAAAATGGCGAGATGTCACCACCCTAAGCAAGGCGCACATGAAGGCACCCTAGTCCATAGTAGGGTGCCTCAATATCCTTCTGTTTAGGGTGATGCCACCCTTTGTAGTACCAGATGCCTACAGCACGCGCTCACGGGAAAAATACAAAGAAATCGACGAAAACAAAATGTCGCCATAGGACAGTCAGCGCCACAAGCGCGTGCAGGGACACGCTCTTTCACGGGCTTCTGAACAAAAAATAAAAATAAAAGTGTGTGACAAAATGGCGAGATGCCACCACCCTAAGCAAAGCGCACATGAAGGCACCCTAGTCCATAGTATCGCGATGATTTTTTTTTAATCTCGTTGCAGTAGCCACATGCAGGACCAAATTGCACGACGCGCTCTAAAAATGGTCGAATTCAACCACAGCCTTTAAGATGCATCTCGGTGCGCGATACTGTCAGGGACGAATTCGTACCAGATGATTTTGGACAGGATATTTTTTCCTTCCCTTGTTAGTGTCGTTATAGGGTTAGTCGGTTGAGATATTAGTAACCGAACAGGGCTATTCGTTTGTAATATGTATCAAAATCTGGTCATGGCCATAACTTGGGTTACTATCGGGGCATTTTCAAGTAGTTGCTGGGAATCAGCAGCAAATACCCTCAAATATATTTTTGGCTGGTAAAATCATGAGAGGAGATTTTATTTTGAATATAAAAGATATCACAATATTCATAATTGCTAAAAGCTTTTTGTTTTAACACACACAAACTCGTTTTAACTATGAGCCGGCAAAACACGACCTACGGCATGCTGCTTCCTTTATTGAATACGGACCTCTTAGATAGCTGTATAGCTACAAATACAATTATCTAAAAATTTCCGCGGCGCGCACACACGCGTTCCAATGACGCACGCTCAACTGGTTTCGCGCTCTGGTGTCGCCCGCCCTAACGGCATGCGCTCTCGTGTCTCGGAGTCTCGAGATATACAGCTCTGATTACAATGATTAGTGGGTACGCCTAAAGCTATAGGGAGTATTCACTGTCGGCCATAGCTGTGTGCGCGACTGTTGAGCGCGTGCTGACGGCATACTTCTATAGTTCTTTTGCCACGTGCATTTCGCACCACCAAGACTACCGGTCTTAGCAGCCTATTAACGTGAGCTCGTTTCGAGCATGCTCTCTAAACATCGCCCTCAAATATGGCGTCCAGTGAATACTCTCTGCCTTTATCTCGACTGAACTTGTCAAACCCATTCGAATGCGAGATTCAAACACCGGACGTCGGCTTCCCGGGCTCCAACGCGTTCGACGAGTGCAGTAGAGACAAAGGCAGCTAGCTTTAGGTCTACCCCCTAATCCTTCCAATGAGAGCTCGGCGTTCTGAAGTCCCCGCGCTTTCTCGTCTCCTCTTCTCCCTCAGTTTCTCGGCGTATTAACATAGCATCTTGAGACTCGTAAACCTTCAGAGAATGATGCCTTTGGAATGTTGCTTCAAAGTCTTGATCTTCGTAAACTTGTCCTGTAAACAGACACTTGTGTTCTGTGTCACAGGATGATAACAAAATCATCCAAAATACATTCTATCTCTTTTTATAGGTTAATTTTAGTTAAAAGTGTCATAAATCGATTTCTTTAGTTTTCCTAAATACTACACAGAATCCCTCACTAAGGTTAATAACAAAATAAGCTTGCCTTAGATTGTCTTTCTGGGCAAAGGCAGTCGCCAAATTAATTTAAGAAATATGAACGTCGTTCATCTTTTCAACTATAGAGTCAGAACAAGCGGCCACGTGACCTGGTCCCTATCTTATTCCGCCAAAGTTAATCGTAGGCACCCGCAGGGTTCGGCAAAGTGGAAAACGCGTGTTGAGTTTCAGACATTGTTAGAAATTGGCTATCCTCATCACCGGAGTGGTTGGACACGAACCCGAGTGTCCACCGAGGCATTGATTGTTACGAGCCGAAGTCGAGTGCTCACGCACTTCTCGTGTCCAACTCCAATCGATGAGCCGCGCTCAATTGTCATTAGACGCGTGGCTTCGATCCTACAACTACGTCATCCAGCTTTGTGTATGCAAGAATGAAAGAAACGGTCACCTTTTATCGTTGCGATTTTACCGCGACAAAGAAACTTCTGAATCAGTGGTACACCACCACTGATTCAGAAGTTTCTTGGGCCAGTACGCCTCTACACAGTCATGAACATTTCGACCCGATATCATATCATGACCATTTTAAAACTGCGTTTAAAACGTTCGGTTCAATTTGTTTAAAAAAATCTCGACAGGACGAGAGGGTTATATGTTTATGATTGATTTGAGATTTGTGTAATTTTATAAAATACTGTTTTCCTTGTTTTCTCCTCATTTGATAGAGCGACAAAAATCACCCTCCTGGGGTCGTTATAATGTTTGTTTTATAAACAATATAACAATACAAAAACATATTTGATTTGTTATCCAGACAAGAATGAAAAAAATGTATATATTCTTATAGGTACAAATAACCGAATATACAAAGGGATGTAAAAGGGTTTGCGTAGTGATGCTCTGTATCTGTGCATATTTTAGCGCCCTATTGCAATTGCTGTAAACTGCCGAGGTGGAGGCCCAATCTGGAAAAAATGGCGTTTGCTGCTAACTCTCCCTACCGGGCTTGTCTCGTAAGAATTCAAATAAATCGAACTTGAAACTTTAAAATTGTTGGCACAAATATGCGAATTTTAGATAAAAACAAAAGACATGGGGCTCTCTTTGATTAGCACGTAGACAAAACGTAGAAAGTTCTGTCGTCTTCCAGAAAGGAAGTGTAAACAAAAATTGGACAAAACTGTCCAATATTTGGACAGTTTTGTCCAAAAATTGGAGCGTCGCCAATCATCATATCTACCTACTCAAAAATTAGTAATCAAGCATCTTGCGTCGCACGCAGCTTGAAACACGCACAAAAAAGTCGCATGTTCTAGAATCTCCCGAGCACCACTTACAATTGTAAATTCAGTGTAAAGGACAAGTCCATGCAGTGAAATATATCGTGAAAAAAACCACAAACGATAAAAAATCCCCGCGTGCAACATTGCGCGCGCTGTATTATGGTACGTTTTCGGCCATGGAGAGAATGGCATGGTTTTCGATTTCGACTGCCCCGTTGACAAAGTAGTACATCTTAGCACCAGATAAAAATAAAGTCAGCACTCGCTTGCATCGTATCCTTGGAAACACGGACCTCCATCGGCCATACTTACTTACTTAGCGAGAAGTGGGAGGAACGCCTGCCACGTCCCGTAGCTTTCTGTAGGCCCGGCTACCAATCCAGCTTGGAGCACGACCCTCCAGTGTCACGGATCGTTTCAGAAGTCTAGGATATTGAGGCTATAGAGCAGAATGGTCGGTCCAGTACAATTCGTCTTTCTTTGTTTACCTGCGCACAAACTCTGGTACCGTCGCAGCCCCGAAAAACTTGCCAAAGCGCATTCTATGCATATTGGTAGACAACACCATGCATTTAAGGAAAGTCACATACTCGAAACCACATGCGCTGTATTTGGCCGTGACGGAATGTCGTGAATTTAGGTTAGAAAATTGAAACAGAAACGGTGGCCAATAAGGTACCCAAGACGCTTTGTGCGGCACTACGCCGCTGGGATCGCTTCGATTTTGCGCGAGGTCGATGCCGAAAGTTCTGTACCGACCGGGAAACAATATTCATGAACATGCCAATATTCCTAGATTTTATGTCCCACTTCATTTTGACACAGAATTGGCATCGAATGCGATAAAGCTGACTCAGCTCGCAAGATTAGAAACCATCCATTAATTCCTTTAGATCCCCTTCTAGCACCTCTGTTTGGCCTAGTGAAAATGGCTATACTCCGATTAATTTAGTGTGCCGCGCACATTACGACAGGGAATAATAAAACATCGCTAGGTTTTATTTTTAATTATTTGAAAATAAAAGAGCGTACCTAATATAATAAAAATTTTATCCCAATTAATGGGTGAATATATATATTAGGTCGAATGAAGGTGATCAACAGTCTTACCAGACCTACGTTAATTTAAAGACAAATGTTTGGTTTGGCCGCACAGCAAACGTTGGGTGAAAACAAAGCTCTCTTACCTGAGCAATCTGGTCGAAGCGACCGAAGAGTTCGTTCAGGGCTTGCACAAGATCCGAAGCCGAGAGCTGCTCAGAAAGCCTGGTGAAGTTAACGATGTCGGCATACAGGATACTGCGTAGAAAAGAGCGTGGAATGAAGATCAATAACTGTTCCACCCTTATACATTTAAACTCGGGATGCGATATTAGAGGGGTCATGAAAAGGTATCGGGTTGTAATGTTCATGACTTTGCAGAGGCGTACTGGTCCCACTATGGACCTTCGCTGAAATCGCCTTCCGCGTGCTGCCATTTTTGTCTGCTCGGCTGTGGGACGCCATCTGAGCATGCGCTGTTGCTCTGTTGTGCGGTAAATCAGACGTTACGCATGGGTCCACAGTTCAGCGACTCAGCATTTTTCGCCGCGTTGATTAGTGATGCAAAGGTCTATACTAGCACAAACCAGCACTGATTCAGAAGCTTCTTTGTCTCGGTGAAACTGCGAGGATAAAAGGGGACTATTTTTTCGGTCTTGTCGTCACAAAACTTGATGACGTAATTGTGGCATCAAAACTACCTGCCTGTCAGCAATCGAGTGCGACCTATGGATCGGACACGAGAACTGCGTGAGCGCTCGACTTCGGCTTGTGACAATCAATGCCTCGGCGGACACTGGGGTAGTGGCTCGTGTCCCAGCATTACGGTGATGGGGAAACCGAAATCTAACAATTCCTGGAGCTCGGCACGCGTTTTCTACTTTGCCAACCCCAGCGCGTGGCTCGGGTTGGCAAAGTAGAAAACTTGCCTTGGTTTCCTTTCTAGTCAAAAAAAGGTCGCCAAACAAAAATAAAAAAAAAATCATATTTCTCTTTTTTTTTTTTTGCGACTGTCTTTGATTAGAAAGAAAACCAAGGCAAGTTTATTCGGTTATTAAGTTTAGGGTGTGTTTCTAAGTAGTATATAGCGAAAGTATAAATATCGTTTCATGGCCTTTTTAAATGAAAAATGCTACCGAAAGAACTTTTGAATTCTGTTCACTTAAATTTTTGACGCAGAGGAGCTTGTATCGACAGCAACGGACGAGCAGAAAAAAGCAACAAAAAGGATCGTAGGTTGACGATTAAAGCAGGATAAAAAAAAAGTTGTCGCAGTCTACTCTAAAACAGAAGCACAGGCATATCTTTAGTGCAGAGCCTATATGAAGCCATGGCTCGCACTATCGCACTAACATCTCATCAACGGCCGTTGGGGTGGCCTTGCCGCGGATTTCTCTACCTTCTGTAGCATACATTTATCCCCATCGGGCTTGTTTCCCTCAGCAACGAGTAGAAATTACACACGCAAGCAACATATGGCTTGCGTCAAACGCAAGCCGCGTATAATATTTTATAAGAATACATTCGAAACGTAATAAAAACTCATTGATAATTTTTGTAAGGGGTACGGGATCCCCGGGCAACGAAGGAGACGCTGCATGCCGGCAATAGTGAATTGCGCGCGCTGTGCCTGAGATCACGAGCCGCGATCTAAAGACAAAACCTTCTTCAACTCAGCTGGGAGTCGATCGCGTTTTCGTTCACAGCGACATAAATATTAACGCGCCTACAAAATGGGGACCCGGAAGCGATCAGCTGCGACCACCCACCGTCGAAGTGAGTGTTAACCGCGATCCGGGACACGCCAGCGGTGCGGCTTCGGAAGAAAAACCGGAGATCGATGCCGTCCTCTTCTCCTGCGGCCTTTCAAACCGCGTCTCCCGTCGCGTCTCTCGCCGGCACCTTCCGGCCGCGACCTCTTCTTTCGCACACGCCGACTAAGAAAGCCGCTGGCAGGACCTCCAGCGGTTTTATCACCGCAGTTGCCGTCTATACCAAGCAGTACGTCACTAAATGCAAGGACGCTACAGCTGTTACGGCCCTGGCTGTCACGTTGGAGAATTTCGGCGTGGCCCTTGAGCTCCACGCCGCGAACAGGGGGCAGAAAAGGAGGAAAGAGACAATAACCGCAGCTTGCTTCCTTTTATCGACGGGCCCTCAAGTAGAAGCGACTAGAAAAGAGGAAGAAAACGTCTTCCTCTCTCCCCAGGCAAAGGGGAGGAACCTTTAGCGAAACCAGGCATTATAGAGTTTTAGAATAGTGGCCTCAACGCTTTGGGTCTCCCAAACAGCTTGGACTGCCACGTTGCGCATGCGCAGAACTTCTGCGCTTGCGCAGTGCGATGCCCCAAGCTGCACCGGGGACCCAAAGTGTTAGGTTCCCATTCAAAAACTGTGTTTTTGTTTGTTTTTTCCTTCGGGGCACAAGGTATAAGCTAATAAATCGAAGTCACTAAGCTGGGCAAGCTTCAATAGCCGCGAAGCCATCTCAACCGAGGCACGCGGGGCACATTGGTCATGTTTTCGGCAGTGCAGTGTTTATTGCAGATCCTGTAAAATGTGTAGATCGTACGCACAAGCTTTGCATTACTAGCGGGAGCTTCTTACACCACTTCAAGAGCCGACTCAGTACGCGCCCGCGGTAGCGTCAATCTGCAGCGTACGACCCATGAAAAGTTTCTTTTGTTAAAAGAGCGACGGAATCACATTTGTACTTTCAGTAAATACCGCTTAGACGTATTCCTGGATATTCATAAAATATAAAACACGCGTTAGATTTTTGCCCCTGTCATTGCATTAGACGCAAGGGTTCTAATCGAGGTGCCGTGCAATAGCAGTCGCGAATCAAGTAAAAAAGAAAACGTGTAGAGTTGACTTTTTTAAAGGGACCATAAAATAAATTTTCGGCTGGGATCAATTAGAATTTTACTGATCGTACATTGTTTAGTGCGCGAAAATAATTTTAGTACACGAGCGTAGAAAGCATAAAGCCTTCTTTTTGGTACGAACATCTGAAAATGTAGCGGACTATTTCGTACCTTTTTTCCTTCAAACGTTCTGTCTCTTCACTGTGATGCACCCGCCGCGCTCGAGCAAGTCAGTCGCACCCAGCTCACGCGCTGGACACGAGAACTGCGTCACTCGGACGTATGCGCTCGTCAACAGTGAACCCGTCGACGAATATTTGAATTCGCGTTTGTGGCCAATGAGTGGCGTGATGGTGCTTATAATCACTTGGGAACGACAAGTTCTATGGTGTGCTTAAAAGGCACGGTGGAAAGTTTGAAGTCAACGCCTTTGGTGCCAAAGCACGTCACGATCACGTTACTTCTCACTTCGCTTTTGAGTTGAAGAAAAATAAGTCAAAAGGTGAAAGCCGTTTACAACTCCCTGTAACGCCGAATTAGAGCGCAGCTCTCGATGAGGAGGGAAGGGTACTGACGGGGGAGGTCATGTGACCTTGGGGGGTCACTTGACCTCGGGGAGGGGGTCACGTGACCTTGGGGGGGGGAGTCACATGACCCCCCCTCCCCGAGGTCACCGAGGTACCCGAGGTCCTCCCGAAGGAACCCAAGGTTCTCTCAAGGTTCTCCCGAAGGAACCCGAGGTCCTCCCGAGGTCCTCGGGGGAGAGGGGGGGGGGGGGTTCGCGATTACGCTGACGCCGACGACGACGGCGACGCCGCTTAAGTTGCAAACGGGCGCCTAAGAGCTGCGCTCTAAAAATAATTTCATGGTCCCTTTAGCTCAAGCCAGAACAAGCGGTCACGTGATCTAGAGCCGATTATATGCCGCAAATGATCTTCATATTGTCATGAGTGTAACTTGACTGTCTCTCCCTAACTTGACTGTCACAAACAGAAAAAATAACCGAGCACGCATTAATATATACCACTTTTTTTTCAGATTTGTTTAAAAAAAACCGTGAAAGCTGCACTTATGTGGTTTATGCGATTGAGTTATACGCCCAGGGGGACATTATGTGAGAGGCTAGTCTTTGCGACAAGTTGGCTAATTAATTAAAATTCACTAATTAACTTTTCAATTAGTGAAAATAGACATGGTTCAATTAGAAACTTGCTGAGCGTCGTCCAAAACCCCTAAATCACTCATTTTCACTTTGGGCGCGTGAGAACCGCAGTAATGCGCTGAAGTTACCACTCGTGGAGCAGGTACAAGGCTGGGGCTAGATAAGAGACACAAAAATTGCGCGGGCGCCTTACCGAAACCTCTAGCCTTGTACCTGCTCCACGAGTGGTAACTTTAGTGCACTACTACGCTTCTCACGCGCTGAAAGTCTTCCTCAAAATGACTAATTCAGGGGTTTTGGACGACGCTCAGCAAGTTTCTAATTGGAACCATATGTCTATTTTCACTAATTAAAAGTTAATTAGTAAATTTTAATTAATTAGCCGACTTATCGCAAACATTATCCACCCACATATTGCCCTATAACTAACTCGCACAAACCACATAAGTGTAGCTTTCATGGCTTTTTTCAAAACAAATCTTCGAAAATAAAAAAAAAAAACTATATATAAAAAAGCGCTTTAGAAACATCGTATGTGGATTTGTGTAATGATGTAAAGTAACTGCGATATAGATTACAAGTGGAATTCAACGTTCTTTGCTATGTTCTTTTTGGGCAGGGGAGTGCACACGTCGATACCTGCATCGCCTGTAGTTGTCCGTGCGTGTTTCGTCAATATTGTCACGGGTGCTGACCAAAAGAAACAATAAATACACAGAAAGAAATAGACGTTTAATGTGGCGAACTTGTACCAAAATAAAAGGAAATAGAAAAATAACAACAGAGCGTCGCGGGCGTCGAAGGCGGCGAAGCAGCAAGGTCAAACGCTGAGGCGAAAAAAACTCGACAAGGTCGCGGGCGGCCTCTTATCTAGAGTGCGTCGCTATCTCGAAGATTCGGCGAAAGCGGCTCGAGCGTCGCGTGATCGGGCGAGAATGAACACGCACTTTCTAGAAAACAAAAGCAGGAATAAATGATAGAAGTTACATGCGGTACATGAATAAACGAGAACTTTCTGGAGGTCCGTGACTGAGCGTTGCTTTCTCAGCCATGGGCGCGGCATTATCCCCCCCTTTAAAAGTGCATCGTCCCGATGCAGCACAAAAACGGAAAACAAAAAAACAAAAGGACAGCAGAATTGCTAGCCGGAGTTCACAGTCCACAGTTCACTCGTCGACGAGAGTGGAGAGTCCTATCGTTCGTAATACGGCTTCAGCCGGACGACGTGC